TATCGCTCTTTTTTGTAATATGTACAATGGTTGAAGTGAGCTTTTGTATGTATTTCCCCAGTTTTCAACGCCATACTCTAAGTATGGTAAAATCAATGAAGAATACAAAATGCGTAGTGCTTTCCCATCCAAAATATATCTAACCCTTGCCAATATCGATTTATTTTTTGCTATTTTGTGCTGAACATATCTGATATGAGATTTCCAGGAGAATTTGTCATCAACTATGACACCTAGAAATTTAATTTCATATACTCGTTCTATATTGGCTCCCCCAATTTTCAATTGAAGTTCATTATCTAGTCTACGATTCCTAAATACCATAAATTTAGTTTTATCCATATTCAGAGATAGTATATTACTATCATACCATTTCTTTATCTTCTCAAGTTCCTGTGAAACCCGTCCAAAAAGTTGCTGTAGGTTTTCACCCGATGCCCATATGGTAGTGTCATCAGCAAACAAAACCACTTTCACTAAATCAGAAACCTTGCATATATCATTAATGTATAATATAAATAATTTAGGTCCCAAAACAGAACCCTGAGGCACTCCACATACTAATATCCAGCTCACTCGATTGGTATTCACCCAACTTCACAAATTGATGCCTCTGTGTCAAATAACTTCTAATCCATTTCAGAACCATTCCTCTGATCCCATATTTTTCTAACTTGTCCATTAATAATTCATGATTGATTGTGTCAAATGCTTTTTTTAGGTCAATAAATATCCCCATCGTGTATTTCTTCTCATCCATAGCACTTGTAATGTCCTTCATCAGGTCGGTAATGGCCAAGGATGTCGATCAGTTCGACCTGAAACCGTATTGGCAATCAGAGAGGATTTTATGTTTGTCAATAAATGTATCTAATCTGTTATTAAAGAGTTTTTCCAGAATTTTTGAAAATTGTGACAACAGAGAAACCGGTCTATAATTTGTGAAGTTGTGCTTATCACCAGATTTATACAGAGGGATAACCTTTGCTATTTTCATATTATTGGGGAACTGCCCAAGTCGAAATGACATGTTAAAAATATGGGTTAATGGTTTGCATATCCCCTCCTCAATCTCCTGGCTCTGACAGTGACTCAGCCTCGTGATGCTGCTAACAAACGGTCATCATCATTATTCAGCATAAAGCACACAGAGGTTAATCACTTCTCCACCTGCATCTACAGTGGGCCAATGATGATAGTATCAGCCCTCGACTATGCAATGGTTTGAATCTTTTCATGATGCGGTTTCACAGTGATGATTGCTGATGTCAGAGGTCGGCAGAAACAGTGACCAAGGGAGTATTCAGGATTATTTTAATGACATTAGCTCTCTGTTGGATGATAATGACCGACCACTAAACCTGAATGCACAACACGACACACACATGTACAAAGTCAAACTATCCCAGCTCTTGTTAAGTGCAAGAAATAAAGTAGCCCCCTCACTAAACCTGGAATAGTCCAAGTCCCACAAATCAACTTTGAATAATTGCACTAAAACAGAATCTTATGCCTGATATTTCTTTGTTACCCCCGGTTTGACTATGGCTGAGCTGAAGAATGACAGAAGAGTTCCAGGACATTCATTCAGAAGCTTCATGTGGTACTGATCATTGGTGCAAGCCTGCCCTCCACGGAGGACCTGTACACCTCACGGGTCAAAAGGAGGGCAGAGAGGATCACTGCAGACCCCTCACACCCTGGACACAATCTGTTTGAACTCCTCCCCTCTGGACGGTGTTACAGGTCACTGTGCACTAAGACAACCAGACACAGGGACAGTTTCTTCCCCCTTGCTGTCACCCTGATGAACACTTAACCAACAACAGTATGAATGGACAATAACCCTCAATGCAATACCTGTAAATATACATTATACAGATTATACAGACTCGTACAGGTCTCTAGTTTTAAGCACTCTGTTTTATCCCTATTTATCTCATTTCAATGAACATTCCTTTGTTTGTCTGCATTATTTACTGCCTGTTTATACTGCTTATTTTGCATTGTTTGGGCTGTTTGTTGATGTTAATACATCTTATTTGGTTACATTACACAGCCTGATGCTGGTTTACTGTTTACTTCCCCCTTGCATGGGGATATGTACAGTACATACACATTGAGAGCCGATGTACCAGAGTCAAATTCCCCGTGTGTCCGACACACCTGGCCAATAAAGCAGATTCTGATTATAGACACATATTAAATTAGGAGTCATGTTTGTCCAGACCCAAACAAACTCAAGAATCACATCCTGGATGTGACGGTATCCAGACTGAAGCTGAAATGACTAGTGTCTGGTTCGAGCTTCTCACATCTGTTAATTGTTTTTGCTTTCTGTGACAATAAAGTCGAAATCGTTGACCTACTGGTTGGACAAAACTTGTCATCTTGGACTTTGTGAAATTGTTCACTAGTTTCCAGTATTACACTCAACAATAAAAATAAAGATTGGATGCAGCCTGATTCCAAACACCTCTCATCATTGTTCACATACGAAGCTGGAACTACTTTGTGAAAGCAGGCAGACAATTATTTGTTATACGCCTAATTGTTTGAGGTGATTTGATTGTTGAAAATAATGAAAACCATCTACTTCTAATTAACTAAACTACTAACAGAGTCAATTTTCATCAGTTTGACTTGAAAAACATCTTCAGGACAGAGAACAATGAATGAATTAATTATGAACCATGACGTTTTAGTCATTGTATGTTGTTCCTGTGCACCTGCTTCAACAAATAATACACATGTACTTTGAATTTTAGGTTTTATTTAGTTGTTTTTATGGCCATAAAGCGAAGATTTTACTATTTCAAATGGATGTGCAGCAGATAGCAGCGGAACAAAAGTCGACAACAGCTGAGTTGAGGGTGAATCGACTGCATGCTGTTAGCACCGTTATGTCATGCAGACATATCATTTACCATAAAGAATAACTGCAGGTACAGTAATACAAGGTGGATTTTCACACACAGCAGTCTTTCTACAGTTGTGTGGACACTCACTGACATAATGCACTCTCTAGCCCCTTACCTTAACTTTAACCATCACAACAAAATGCCAAAACGTCCCATCACCCTAACCTAATGCTCACATTAACCCTAAAACCAAATCCCCCTACAGCCTTTTAAAGCTGTAAGGACCAGCTAAATGTCCTCACAGCAGTGATACTGAACTCAAAATTGTCCACACAAACAGAGAAAGACATGTACACACACCTAACAAGTCTGCATCCAAAGTTGATCCTGATGGAGGTACATCCTCCTGCCAATCTAACCAGGAACACAGGGAGAATGGCAGCACCTCACACTCAGTCATCACACATCCTTCCTGTCCATCATGTCAGATCACACTGCATTTTATCGTTGAAAATTCAAATGTCAACCACAGTGAACACAGTGCACGAGGAACCGTGCACTGTAACAACGCACAGTCCCATCCTAAATTAGAAAGTGCAGGAGGTGGTGAGGAGGGTGAGTGAGGAGGGGAGGGGAGCCCGACTCCCGCATCCCTCATTTTCTCTGCCACCTTGAAAACAACACCCCAGTTCTGCTTGTGGTTCTCCATTCCATCATTGTCTGTGCACATCACATGCAGCAGTGTTACAATCCCCTGCCAGTGGTTGATTTATTTATTTTTGTCTTTGAAAACATGTACCAGGAATAAAATCCTGCTCCTCTTTTGTGTTCCTGCATCATCTTTCTCTCTCATTTGCTGTCTCTCTCTCATTCTCCCGGTGTCCCTTCATCCTTCCCTCACTCCCTTGCCTCCCCTCCTCCCTCCACCTTGCCCTCATCTCCGAGTCCTGCAGCCACAAGCGCTCTACAGCAAGGGTTTTGCAGTGGCTTCTTGGCATTGTCATAACACTGTTTTTAAGACAATCCTGCCTCATTTTAGGGTGCACAATGGAGAAAAGGAAAGACGATTTTTTTGGCGGGTGGGGGGTTTGGGAGATGAGGAGGAGGAGGAGGAGGAGGAAGAGGGGAGGCCGGGGATGAAATGCGACAAAGGTTGCGAGCTGGATTTTAACCTACAATGTCGCGTGGAAAAGGTACACAGTAAAATGCATTATTTGAAGAGCTGACAAGAACACAATGAACAGAGGCAGAAGGAGGGCAAGTTGGCTGATGATATGATCATGCAAATCCATTATTTCACCTTCTCTGTTGCTCTAATACATTGTCTCTGGTTGGATTATGTGTGTATATGCATGCCCATACAGAGGTATGTGGCATACATGATGTGCAGATCCAGTCATCTGAATTCATTATCATCACAAAAAGGGCACAGGGAAGCTGGAACCTGAATTCTCCATAATCTCAGTTAAGAAAGAAAAGGCTTACCTCCACATTTCAGCTCTGCTCGACCCTGCCTCGTTCCATCCTGTTCCTCTCTGCTGACAACCTCCCCTTCTCTCCCCATGACAGCATTTTTCTGCTATCTCTCACCACAGTGAGGCTCTTTCTCCTCCTCCGCCTTCAGTTCCTCCTGTCTGCTCTTCTCTTCCTCTCTCCAAAAATAAAATAAAGCAGCGCAACACGGAGATACTTCCCAATCTCTGTGTCTACTGGCTCCTCTATTTTATGTTGTTAAAGTCAAGAGGCAGGTTGATTTGTGCTGTCCTCCTCCCTCTTTCTCTCTCTTGCGATGATTCTATTCCATTCACTCACACGAAAGCCAACCCCCTCTTTCTCCTCCTCTCTCTCTCTCTCTCACACACACACACAGCTTTACCAAGCCTCCTCCCCCCTCCTCATCTCCTTGTCAGAAAGAGGTTGAGGCAGCAAACAGACAGCAGAGGCCAAGCGCATATGTCTTAAACTGAAATTCAAAATAGATCACTGGCAAAAGTGTGAATTAAAATGTGCTGAATTAAATGCTCATGACGACCATATGACATATGACACAGAAATGCGGTGATCAAATGCTGGTGCAAAGTTGTACTGAGATGGTCACCTCTCATAATGTCTCAATTTTTTTAAACTAATGTACTGATAGGAGGAGGAACTGGCAATAGTAAACACACTTACTGCACTTAGTCAGAATTTCCTGTGCAAAGCCTACATTTCTGCTTAACAGAGATAAAGTCTCAAAAGCAGACTCAGAAGCAAAGCTGAAAATTGCCACGTGCTTGTGTTTGTGCGTGACTATGTGTTTGTTTGTAAAGATCTCTGTGTACTTCTCAAACATACTGATGTGAGTGTGGATCAAGACCATAAATCAACCTGCTTAGGAACAATAAGAGTACAGGAGTACTGCAACAACACAGCCCACCTTTCTGTTCCCCATCAGCCACTGCAATGTCCTTAAAAGCACATACCTGTGAATTTGGATAAACCATTTAATGGTGTGCAGGAGAGGAGGAGGCGGCCAGCCATGTTGCTTAACCTCCACCGCAGCAGAGCCAGGCGTCCGGCACCATCCCCCTAATGACTGAGTGGAGTCTCGTCCTGGCTGCACCATATGGCTGTGTGTGTGTGTGTCTGTGTGCGTTACCAGGTCAGCGGCTCTGGTCAGGGGTTGGGGGTGGGAAGGAGGAGAAGCCGGTGTTGCTGGTGGTGTGTGTCTTGACAAGATAAGAAAATAAAAACAGAGGCAGGAGTTGATAGTAAACTGTTTCCTTATAAACAAGCATACCTCCATGTGTGTCCATCAGTGCTAGAGGAGGTTTTTAGGAGCTGCTCAATTCAGAAAACAAAAATGATCCAATACAAATAAATATCCAGCTATTAAGTTATACGCAGTGGTGGAAGAACTACTCAGAATGTTTACTGAAGTAAAAGTAGCAGTATTACAGTGTAAAAACACTATGTTACAAGTAAAAGGCCTGCATTCAACATGTCACCTAAATAAAAATCCAAAGTATTAGCAGGAAAATAAACTTAAAGTACCAAAGGTAAAAGTGCACATTAGGCAGGATGGCACATTTTACAAGCAAAGCACAGATACCTCAGTACTGTACACAAGTACAGTACTGAGTAAATGTACTTAGCTACTTTCCATTACTGGACATGTGTAATGGTCTGACACCTTCACCATATTGGTGAAGGAAGAAGCCCCACAACAACCAACGCTACAGTGACACCATGTGGAAGTGTTTCACTGGTGACAGCTCTGCAGAGGAGCGCCTCTTTCTAAAGACTTGTCCTACTTATGACATATTGCTGTACATACTGTACTCAAGACAAGTAAAACATTCAGATTGCTTGAGTCATTTTAGCTATTATTCCTAATTTCTACTCATCATTTATAACAGATCATTTCAGTCCTCAGTGAGAGGTATTACGTGTTGGGGAGCAGTGAACTACATGTAATTACACTAGTAGTTTACATTTTGCAGTAGCGTTCTGGTAGTTCAACTACATTCATATTTACAGTGATTCAAGTAGTTATATGACCTTTTTTTTACCATTTTTTTTATAATTAACTACTACAAGAGTAGCTTTGCTATAGTTCAGCCTCTTCCACTGTCAAGTAGCTGGTAGCTTTCAAAGCTAGGTTTTCAAGTAGCTTCCCCATCACTGGGTATTAATGAGCAGTTTTAAGCCAATTTGCTCATGCAATGGCTACAACCTAAACACAATGTACATTAAGGTTACAATGATACTAAAATGGCTGGATGACAACTTTATTGGGCCCACAGTGACATATTTAGTTTTAGCCTGTTCAAAGCCAGTAGTTATTCAGAATGATGTCATAATATCATATCAAAGCAACAAATTATAACATATGATAAGATGGAACCAAAAATGTTTGAATTGTTTTTTTGAAATGTCACAAATTTTAAGATAGGTACTGAAAAAATGTGCTGATTAACCAACTAAGCAGGTCATTGAGACAAGTGTTTTAAGAGTGAAATGCAAGCCAGTGCAAACCATCAACTCTGTCTACCTGGTTCTGTTCAGCTGTAAAGGTGTGTGTCAACTACAGTCAAGGACTAGTCTAGGAAAAAGAACAATTATCTTACTCAAGTGGCAATGACTTTAGGCTACTTCTTGTACATAGATTATTTTTTTATGTTAGATTGAGTGTACATTTGTACAGCTGCAGGAGTAGCACTCATGTCCAAAACAAGTTTCCTCCTATTTAATTTAGCAGCTTACCAGACAGGTCTGTTTTCTGCCTGCGCATTTTGGCAGTGCAGAAAAGAGGGCACTGCCTCCTGGTGGACAAAACTTGCACACAGTGAAATAAGAGCTTAAAACATACTGTGCTTGACTGGCCACAGTTTAAATTGTAATTCACTGCTTTTATGTAAAGCTGAAAATGTTTATATGACCTGCAAAGGTTGAAGCTGAGTTCAGTTACTAGCCTATAAGCACATCTTCCACAGGCAAAATGTGTTTTGTGTTCCGTGCACTGACCTGATAGAACACAGCAGAAGTCTGGTATCAGTATTAACCTGAGAGTTAAGTAACTTTCAGGGTAACCCCACACCACTGTTGGTGACATCCCTCAGACTCTGCAGTGCTTAAACAAGGGTTGGCTGGCTTACCTGTTGAACCTGGTTCCCAGGTGTAATAACATATACTGGAAGGGGGAAAGTCTCACTGTTAAAAGTCACACATTAAAGACAATTTTAAGGATTTTTAAGTTTTGTTTTAAACCAATTCACATTTTTTATATCAAACATTCAAATCATACTCTCCATGTAAAGATGTACTAAATAATTTAAATGGTAGATTCAACATCCTTTTGTGACATGTAAACATAAAACAAAGATATCACTTGAAGGTCTTTTCCTCTTAATATTGTGCAACCTGTTAGTTTACATCAAGAAAAAAAAAAAAAACTGTCCACAAAATTTACATTCCTCTAACAGTGTTCAAAATGGCTTCTAAGCATTTTTTTAAACAATCAGGTTTAGAATACAGTTAAAGGAAACATGATAAAACAGTTTGGACACTGTGCAGATGATCATGACAGTGGATTATCAAACAAAAAAAAAAAAAGTAGAAATATTCCCCCAAATATAAATAATTCCAACTATTTAAAATATAGGGAAATGAAAAACACTGTTAAACAGCATCACTGTTAAAGAAACCTGAACTGACCATGTTGGATCTCAACAAACATTAAAACTGCACATTTCAATGTTCAGTTTTTTCTTAGCTGACACTAAAATGGCTTGAAGTCTTTAACAGAGTTAAAATTCAGTCACTTCAGGACTGCAAAAAAAATAAAAAATTTAATTATTTGTGCTTTTTCCTCTATATACACACACACACACACACATCGTATTTCCTCAAGCAAGTGAAAATGTCTGTTTATCAGTGGTTTCAAAATGATTGAAACTTGTGTAGCCAGGAGGAGACATCCGAGATATTCTGAAGCCTGCACACTTGGTACAAAAGTCACACTTTAAAGTAGAGTGATGACTACTCTCTGGAATGTTGTCCGGATGCGACGTGGGCTGCCTTTTACAAAGAAACTTTTCTTGGATACATACATGATTCTGATGACAGCATTTTAATTTCCTTGTGTAGCAGATACAATATGGACACAAAAAGACACTGCTGTGTCCGAGATGGCCAAAGCAAAACAATAATAAATGTGTAATAAAAAAAATTAAAAAAAATCTTTCCCTGCTTCCCACTTAAGCCAGTTTTAATGCACCGTTGGTCATGAACAGGATCTTTTCCACAGTAGAAGGTGTGTTGTATGGGTGGTGTTACTGTCAACTCCTTTGCCCTTTGCTCTTTTGAGAGCTTTTTAAATTCACAATATTTAATGAATATTCACAATAAAAGCATATGTTGTTATCTGAAGAGGAGTCCTGGGCTCAAAAAGGGTTTCAATGCTCTTGATGAGAGAGCCTGATAAATCCTTTATCTGATCCACTGTCAAGCATCAAGTCCGTTCTGGCGGTTTTCAGTGAACCGGCCCGGAACTCTACCACTTGCCCCTCTTGCTCCAGTCCTTAGGTGTGAAGTGAAGGCACTTGGGATCTATGCGCAAGTGTCTCTTCTGCATTGCTCTTTCATGCCCCTCGACAATGTCCTCTGAAAGAGTCAGGATGTACTGACCCTGTGTTCAAATAACAACATAGTCATGTCACATTCCTATCAGCAGACTACAAACATTTTTGGACTAAATATAACTTATTTTAATCAGTGATGGCAGTGTATTCGTTGTCACACTACCATCAACCAAAACCTCTGAGTCATGTTCTCTTCGCCGGGTTGTGTAGCTCTTCACTGTAACCTGACAAATATTTCCCAAATAATTTCTCTCACAGTCAGGACCTTAAAATAGGTTCAGATGTAAGATTTTGCATCCTTTCTTGGCCTTCTGACCTTTTGACCGGAAAGCTGTGTAAAGACCGACTATTAAAGGTGCAGAGGACCTTCTAGTACTGCTTGTGGATGGGAGCCAGTTCCCAAAAGACGGTTTAGTGAAAACTCTTGAGTTTGTCAACACTGAGTTAAGAGAAACTGAGATTATCATTTCAATATCACATTGTGGATTATATGTCTTGAGCCTACTCAGTGAGAATGACTGTGGTGCAGCTTTACATAAAGATTGAGCAGATTTCCTCAAATTAAATTCAAGACTTAAGACCCTTTTGGTTTTTGGTCTTGACCCACTTTGAATGCAATTTAAGACCTACTTCCAGGCAGCAAATCCCCCCACAGAAGTTAAAAGCAACAGTTTGGGAGGGGTTAAAATTTTTACACACCAACTTCAACCACAAATTAAAACATGTTTTTACATTCATGGCTCGAAGAAGCATCCAACAGCCTACATTATCGCACCATTTCCACTGACCCACCACTTATAGTGAGTGACAGTGATGCACAGACTGTACAGTGGTCTGACTGACTTTACCTGCTGTCAATATCTCCTGTAACCTGCTCAGACAATGATAAATAAATTCTAAAACAAACTGATTTAAATTTCTACATTTCTGGCAAGTAGTGAACTATGGTTCACTGTTGGATGTTGGATCTCAGATCTCAAATTCTGCTTTAAGTTTTAATTAGTGCAACAGTTAGTTTCACTCCTCTGAAAACGTCAAAGCAAATCTGTAATTGGTATGATTTGCATAGACTTGACCATATATTCGAAAACTAGATGGGTTATTTTCTTACCTGAAAAACTTAATAAAATGGCATAACAACAGTCCTAGGATGAAAATTATCACTGGATTGAGCCCAGTCTGCCAGGGCAGTTCCCCTGCAGTTTGGGTATCGCTGTGACAACCAGCTACAATGCGGAGGGACTATATCTGCATTGAAAAACAAAGCACCTGGTACCAAAAGTGAGTAGAGTTAAGTCAAGTCAGTACCAGGTGGTGGAAAGGGGGCTTAACATACCACAGGCGGTACTCCTTTGTCCAACTCAACATTAAAATTATCAGCTTAAGAATGATCAATTTTTAAGACCTGTCAAAATCGTATTTAATACCTTTTTTAATGCCTAAACTTCTGATTATAGGATTTAAAACTAAAATTAAATGTAGAACTGAGGTTTTGGAATATATGATACATGTGGTCCCCAGTTTTCAGCTTCTGTTGTTTATCCATTTTCATTCACGTTAGTAGGACAGCATTTTATATCTGATCAGAAGAATATCTGTGTTTTGAGGCAGAGAAGGACTGGTAGTTAGTTTATACACACACACACACACACACACACACACACACTCTCACCTTGTAATAGTTGATTAGGTTGAGGTACTGAAGTGTTGAAATGACGTCTTCTTTCTTTACACTTGTTATCTCACTAATTTCACTGTAGGTGCAAGAATTCAAACAAAACGAGTGATTAAATCGCTGTTCTGAAAATTACTCTTAGGAGATAATGAAAGGCTGCGACAAAATGCCAACCATCACATACTTGATTGTGATTTGCGGCCTTTCTCCATTGTCGGGTTTAAGGTCCATGAGAATTTCCAAGATGGTCTGGGACCAATAAGAACGATAGGACAAAAGACCGAGGTCAGAAAGTGGCTTCTCAGGAGTGCCTGTCTTGCCTTCTACCTTGGAGAGCTCATAACCTGAGAGTGTAGAGGGATTAGAACAGGTGAGGTGAAAGGAGAAAATAGTAAAAGAATTCCATCCAAGTATTTACTGGACATTGTGCCATAGATTGTGATACTAAACCTACTGAATTCAATGAGCAGTTTGCCATAGCCCCTCCGCTGGTAAGGAGGCAAAGTCAGGATGCAGGCGACGTTATAATCTTCAGTCGACTCTTTTTCCTGCACAAAGAAAATAAAAATTATTTGCATTTTGACTGGACACTAGATGTACACATTGTATCAGTGGTTCAAAATTCTTTGCATAATGTGTGTACCTTAGAGAAGTAGCCCACAATGTGGAAACCTTTGGAGTCATACTCCGTCATTACATAGAAAAGGAAAGGGTCTGTGTCATAATACAAGGTTTTGTGGTCCAGGAAACACTTAGCAAGTAAACACAGGTTCTGGGAATAATTCTGGAAAATATAAAAGGCAAAAGATCAGTGAAAAACAAAGTGTGCTGTGAAAAATACAGAGGAGAGAGAAAGATACCCTGTCACTAACCTTGTTTTTCCTGCCATCAATCTCAAAGAATGAGATGGTGCCTTTGCGGTAGATCTCATTGCCTGGCGGATGTCTCAGATTACATTTTGTCTATTAGAGATAATAGAAGAGGAAAAGAACAATGATCCACAGTGTAAGCAGCCAGATACTGGTGGGCTTAAAAAGCTGACATAGTGATGATGCTTACCAAATGCCTCTGGAGACACTTGAGGCTTTTGAGGTACTTGAGACAGAATTCACAGAGGTAGAGGATGGGCAGCATGGTGAGTTCCTGTGGGTACGGTGAGAAGTACCAGGGCTTCAGTCTGTGACGGCCTAGCTCTATACATTCTATGTTTTTCATCCGGGTGACAATGTCGTCATGGCTGCGGTCAGATACCAGACTGCCTGTCATGCGCGGTGCAGATGGGATGCCATCCGAACTGTCCTGGGAATCCTGGTGGCAAACAATGCAGACATGAGACACAGACTGCTGTTAATTTCAAACTGTTTAAAATTGTGTTCTAACAAAAATCTACTTGATCAAATGAAGGATATGTATTTTAAGACTTTTACACATTTAGATTTCTTTATGTAACATGTATAATCACAGTGTTTGAGCATCAAAGGACTAAACTTGGGTCTGAGGTAAACAGCACCTCTCTTTTATTGGACCCGCTAAGGCACAGGTGAATTTGGACAGTTGAACACATTGAACGGGCAAAAATAGGAAATAAAACAGACCTCTGGTGGTGGCAGAAAGACACTGGCACTTTGTGGGTTGTTATACTGCAAAACCTTTATCATCTAGCAGAAAAGAAGACACAAACACACGGGCTTTTGGAAACTTAAGAGGGGAATGAAATTATTTTTACTTGCACTGAACAGTTTGGTTAAGGGGGCAGAGTGAGAGCAATACTGAACTTCAGCGTAACATTTGTAGTTTTAGTACATTCCAGGGTGGGTTCACCAGCAGCCAGCCGGCAACGCTGGTAATCACAGCTTTGTTTGAAAATGAATGCAGGGCGAGCAAAAGAGCTAACAAATATTAGATCAGTTACTTCATTTGTATTGTACAGATTAATTTATATGACAAACACTTGCCACTGTCATCAGAAAGTGGGCGGTCAGCTGAAGGTGCTTTCTACACTAACTACAACAACTG